CTGATGGCGTTTCAAGCGGAGTTTTTATAACACATGCAGGCAATTAGAAACTTTCCTTCAGTCATTCACTCAATGTTTGCGGAGCACCTACCACCATCAGGCTGGCACTGAGTATGCAAAGCTGAACAAGCCCTGGAGGAGATTAGAGACTTAGTGGGTGAGGCGGATTAGTAGCTGAGCTCTTATAATGCCCTGCTACAACAGATGATAAGAATTACATACTTGGTGCTATGGGGACAGAGAAGGGAGCCATCTCTGTCAAATAGTTTCAGGAGAAACATTAAAAACTGGGGTGGGGAGAGGGGGACACAGAGACTTTATAACTTGGTTATCTTTTTCTGTTGTACAAAATATTTAAAATTTAAAAAGACCTCAGATCCACTTCTGGTTTATACACAAAAGAATTGAAAGCAGGGACTGTAATGGATTTGCACATTGGTGTTCATAGTAGCATTATTCACAAAAGGCAAAATATGGAAATGATGGACGTGTTCCATCAACAGATGAACAAATAACTACCTGTGCCATATGCATACAATATGCAGCCTTAAAAAAGAGAGGACATTCTGACACAGGATACAACATGGATGCACTCTGAAGACATTATTCTAAGCACGGTAGCCCAGATACAGAAAGACAAATGTTTTATGACTTCACTTATATGAGATACTTAGTCAATTCATAGAGACAGAAAGTAGAATGGTGGTTGACTGGTCCGAAGGGAAAGGAGGGGGTTATTGCTTAATGGGTACAGAGTTTCAACTTAGGAAGATAAAAAAGATACAGGGATGGATGTTAGTGATTGTACAACAGTGTCAATGTACTGATGGGACTGAACTGCACACTTAAAAGTGATTAAAAGGGTAGATTTTATGTAATGTTTATTTTTTTAAAGGACTTCAGAGAGTCTCACCCATTGATTTTACAAAAGGGGAAACTGAGGTACAGGGAGGTAAATTGCTCACAGTCACACAGCTCCTTAGGCAGAGACTAAAACACAGACCCTTGACAATTCAGTGCTCTTTTATCTGCCTCATATAATAACTCATACAGATTTTGTGCCAGGTGAGATTCTAAATACTTTATATGTATCAATTCATTCAGCCTTCACAACAACTCAAGGTAGATTATGCTCTCCCCTATTTTAGAAGTGAGGAAACTAAAGCATAAAGAGCTTATATAATCTGCCAAGATGACCCAGTTAGTAAGTGACAGTTCTACTTCCTGGCTCCAGAGTATACTTTACTCTTAAAATATATATATATATATAGTATACTTTATACTCTGTAATGCTAGGTCTTGGTTTTCATGTCCTACCCTCAAAGGCAAGAATCCTCTCCATCTTTAGTACAGCTGGTTGCAAATATGCCCCAATTTTCCACCCCATTCTTAGCCATGCCCTCTGCAATGTGACTTTGAAGCTCATCCTTCAAGAGGTAAAATCTACTTCTCCATTCCTTGAATCTGGAAATAGCCAATGGGATGTGGTGGAAGTAATGATGAACTGGTTTCCAGCCCAGACATGAAGAGATCTTGTATGCTTTCTCTTTTTCAGAGCTTGCCTCTGACATATAATTGGGTCTAGGCTAGCCTGCTGGAGATGGGAGACCATGTGGAAGAGAGCCTAGATGTCCCAGATGAGGCCCTCCAAGACCAATCTACATTTATCTAGTCCCCAGCCACATAAAAGAATCCAGTCAAGGTTTGCTGAGCTCAGTTAAGGAATGCCACCCAGTTGCTTTCTAGAACAATTATAATGAAGGATAATATTATGAGTAGAAAGGACAGAACTGGCATTTCAGGCTGTGTAAACAAGGCAAAGGAAAGGTGGGAAAGTGCAGGTATATTCAGAGAACAGTGAGTAGTCCATTTCGACTATAGACCAGTTGTGCTTATTGGGAAATAAACCCAGAGAAGTAGGCTAGACCTGGCTTAGTTGCTACCCAAGTTACTATGTGCTGAGAAGCCTTTAAATGCCTAACATGTTCATTTTCCCTTTACAATACCATTGGGAAATGTTATGATTTCCAGTTATAGGAAAGAGGTCCCAAGTCAGGATTTAAATATAAATAGTCTGACCCCGGAGCCAGCCTCATCCACTTACTACAAAACCATGGTGGAGAGAATTCTGTGAAGATACTTCAATTGGCCAAGAACGTATGAGGGCCTGCCCTGAGGAAATGGCCATGGAGATAAATAGAAACACTGGCTGTGAGTGATAAGCAAGAGGATGGGCTACAGGTCTAGACATCGGATTGAGTGAATGAGGTGAAGAATGAAAAGAGCCACAGGGGACTGCTTAGATGCTGATCCCAGATGACTGGGACAGTGATCAGTATTATCCTCAGGCACACGGAATGCAGAAACTGGCTCATACATGTTGATTCTGAAATGCCCTGCTTGGGGTGAACACATGAGAAATACAGGTAGATTGAATGAAGCACAGAATTAAGGCATGAGAAATATGTGAGATCTGCAGAGAGCTAAACCTCAATTTCCTCATTCGTGAAGTGAAGTTATTGTTCTAAATTCTTCATGAATTTTACCCAGCATGAAAACAGAATTCCTATCAAGCACTATCTGCTTTATTTTTTATTTGTTGGCTTAGAAGTTATATCTGTTGGTAATCAAGTAGGAAGAAATGTAGTGAACTTGGGTATTATTTCACTCAATAATACTGAATTTTCTCCTATTTGCAATTTTTATTGAGACTTCAGATTTTATTCTCATGTCTATAAGCTTTGGAAAATGTAATATTTAGTCACCATTCTAAAATTTTATTTCTTACAGGTTTGTATTTTGTTTGTTTTGCTTTGTTTGTGAGACTCAAAATCAGAATTTTAAAAAGTTAATAATCATTGCACTACCTGGCATCCTGAATGTATATTTCCTCATTAAAATATAGTCATGTGGGGAAGAGGTAATTTTAACCCCATTTTCCAAATGAGAGATGAGGTTTATAGTTTAACTAATTTGACTAACGTGAAAAGCTAATTAGGGATAGCGTTGGCAAAGGGAAGCAAAATGAATTTTATCTTTTATAGACTTCCTATTCATTGGTGCTTTTATTATAATGTTGGCTAAGAAAAGATGAAGTTAATAAATGTTCTCTTTCCCACAGCAGAAGTGTTTGAGAACACTGGTTTAAGATTTATGCTCCTACTCAGAACAGAAGACCAAGCTGTGTTAATAAATTCATGGAAGAATGTGCCTAAATGGCAGACTGATGAGAAACAGATGTGACTTCAAATCTGCCTTCTATGCTAGGCTGCAGCATTTCGCAACCTTCTCAACCAATATGAGTCACAATTTTCTCAGCTGTAACATTCAGAAAAATAAAAGGTCATTTACAAGGCTATTACCGGAACCAAGAAAGAAGAGAAAGAGTACATGAAAGCATCTACTTCATGTCCGACAACACATTCAATAAGTAACATTTCCTTTTTCTTTCCAAAAGCATTTAGGTCCTGCATTTGTTGCTGATAGGTGGACTCTGTGGAAAGAATATTTATAATCTTCCAATTATTACGTTAATGATCAAGTTTATTGAATTTGAGATCACAATGCATATTAATGCTTTGTTTTGAATTTGTGACTCTTTGCAAATCCCTGGTAAGTGGGTAACTAAAAACATTGCCATATGAAAATTAATTCCTCTGCATGGCATCAGCCCATTAACATTTATAGGTGAAATATGTTCATGTGTGAAGCATTTAGCACATGCAAGGAACTGGAAACCCAGACCTGCAGCTGATTCACTAAAGTGCACTCCCAGCACCGTCAGCACCTCTGATTCATTCCGTGCATCGCCTAATAAATCTCAACTAAATGACACACACATTGAACAAAGACTTATATTTGTAAGTCATTCTTCCCCTGGGCAGGAGGTGAAACAGTTTGTTCATAAGTAAGCGAAGAATCTAGAAACACCACTGCTTTTTTGCTTTTACCTTTCTGATTGTGACTTCTCTATTCTTTCTTCAAATGCTCTTTTTTCAGCACCAAAACATGTGCTCACAAAGATATGTGATTAGTTCATCCTCATTAAAGTGTAAATCAGTGATAAAGTCTAATGTCTCCTGGGGGCATTTATTTACACCATAATTGGAAATAAGGTCCCTGACTTACATGAAAGGAATTAGATTCTAGTGATGAATTTAGTCTGTAAAGCAACAAGAAAGAACATTTTTAGGGACACCTGGGTGGCTCAGTTGGTTAAGCATCCGACTCTTGATTTCAGCTCAGGTCATGATCTCACAGCCATGGGATCAAGCCTCACATAAGGCTCCATGCTGAGCATGCACCCTGCTTGGGATTCTCTCTCTCTCTCTCTCTCTGAACCTCCCCCACTCAAGCACATAAGCACGCACTCTCTCTCTCAAAATAAATAAACATTTTTTAAAAGATAACATTTTTAGTCATAAAACTCTGTATGTTGCTCTCCAAGTCAATTCAATAGGCCACCACCAGCCCTTAAAACAGCATATGTCTATCACATACCCCTAAAGCTCCTTTATCCAGTCCCCCCAAAGATTTGTTTCATAAAGTAGACTCAAACGTAACACTTGATGAGAGCTTCGAGGGTCTCATTCTAGTTCTGCCACCACTACTACCACTGCCACACCAGCTACCAAACAAACCCATCGTTAGCTTCCTGCGATTCTCAGCCTACGTCTTGGAAGACTGTGAGCCAGGACTGCCAAAGCCACTGGTGTGGCTGAGAATGAGTTCATGCCCAGGAAGGGCCATAGTGTGAGGCAGAGACCTGCCTCCAGTATGACATATGAACCAAACCCCACCATTCAGAGAAGCAGTTGCCAGTAAAACAGAAGACAGTCACAGCAAAGTACATTTTAAGCTCAGAAAGGAAAGTCCTTGCAGGACTGAGCTCCATCAAATGCTGCCCAGTGGAATCTCTACCTAAAGATTGGCAGGGTTTTGACCACGACAGTTTCAGCACTGTCAGGGGGAAACTTCTCGGTTTCCCTAGTGTAACTTACCTGAGATCCATATCACCATCAACCCAGAAGGTGAAAATATTCGAGATGGTTCCGCCTGGGCAGCATCCCATGACGAGAACAGCAATGGCTTGGGCTGGCTTCAGAGAGAAGCTGATGGCCAGGAGATAGGCTGTGAGAGGCATGAGGCCAAACTGGCAGAGCAGTCCTACAGCAATGCCCCAGGGTCTCCTGATGTGCGACCATAGCTTCCGGAACTCCACAGAGCATCCCAAGGAGAACATGAGCAGGCCCATCATCACGGCTGACACCACTGTGAAAACAAGTTCCAGGTTCCCATGTACCTCTGGTCCCACGGGCAACTCTTCCTCCGAAGTGTTAGCAGAGCAGGCTGAGCTGCGGGAACAGTTTGCTCTCATCTCTTCATCTCCTTAAGACAGCATGACAAATGAAAACTGCCCCAATGGCTGGGCAGGTCTATTCTTCCACGTTTTGTAATAACACAACCAAGTCACACGTAGAGAGTCATTCCAATAACTATTGGCCAGCCAGGTGATTCATCCTAATCTGATCAATGTATTCATGAGTGGCTTATAAAAGTAATTATCATGGGCATGAAACATATAATAAACTGTGGTAAGTAAGGCTTTCCACTTCTGCTCTTACTCACTACTGAATATTCAAGTGAAATGAGACAAGCAAATTTATTGTCAAGTGGAGTGACTGGGCTGTGTCGTCAGCATCACGCTATGTTCCAGGAAAATAGGTTGAATGCCAAGACATAATTTCTCCAAATTCAATGGGATTTCAAAGAACCAAGATGCAATGTTTCGCAGAGGGGAAATCTAACTGGAAAAAACAAAGGCACTAAGCCAAAGCCATTTCTCATAGCATTAGCAAGAAATTCTGTTGAAAATATTAAAGCTAAAGGTCAGTTATGGAAATGTCGAGAGGGACTAAGGATAATTTCAGAAGTGCTTCAGAATTACTTTCAGTTTCTCTTCTTTCTATTTCTACTAGAATTTGCCTCTAAAGCCAATAATTAAACACCTGTAAGAATAATATGGTACTAAGCACCTGATTCACTTCATCAAACGTGGAAATTCATTTCTGTACCCAAAATAATTCAAAGAAGTTGTCACTTTCCTCTGGAGAACAGAGTCAGCTTTGAGATACCACACCCCTAGCCCTCGTGGTGAGGTCCGGGAATTCTGCAAAAGAATGTAGTTAAGAGTTTGTCATAAAAGCTGGAGACAAAGTCTGAAGCTAGTTTCTGACCGCAATGGCCCAGGGGCCCTTCTATGTTTCTTAACCACACAGATGCACATTTCATTGGCAAAACCAGACAAGGAAAATATGGTTCCACGAAACTAAATCTACAAAAGAGCAGATGCCACACCCTTTCTCACAGAAAGCAGAAAGTTTATTTATGGGGCAAAGGTTGGCAACAAGGCACACTCTATAAAACACCTTTACCTCCCTTAAGAGGGATACTAGCTATACATTGTTTATTTTTGGACTAGCAAAGTATTTTCCATGACAAAATACTCTAAGCCTGTTTACTATATAAAAATACAAGTTAAATACAAATGTAAAAATAAAATCTAACTATATGAAGTAAGTATAAACTGGTTTATGCAAAGATGCTCTAACAGCAGCTTGAAGGTAAAACCTTGCTGGAGGCCATCAGAAGTCAGCACGAGAACCTGCTGCCACCAACTCTTGATTTCTGCCCAAGAAGAAGCCCACATTTACACCAAGCTTGATAAGCCTGTCAGAAGACAACTCAGAACCATCTGTGCTATACTGATGCAGAGCTAAGCAGAGAAATGGACACTTAGGAATTGGATTACATCTCTGGGAAGCAGAGATGCAGTCAAGCTGAAGAAGATTTCCCTGGAACACAATGGTAAGCAATGAAAGTAGTTGATAGCATGATCATTCTGGAAAGACTGACAGTCAAACATAGCTCAGGGATAAAACACCACAATTTGGCATAAAGATGGAGAAACAAACCAACTAATCCCTAATCTCTAAATTATCTCATATGCTCACAAGCTTAAAATGCATCTGAATGTGTGCAAAATATATGCATCTTAATTTTGAGATCCTGTTGTACAAATCACAGGAAATATTTCATGCATTTCTATTCTCTGCAGATAGAATTAGAGGTGAAAGATGTTCTTCAGGAAAACCAACTGAAAAGCCCAGCCTCGTCTGGAAATGTAAAGACTAAAGGGGAAGTGCCAAAAAGAAAGGTAATTAAACATGGCTGAGGAACTGTTTACTGAACTCTGAAAATGGTTGGCTCAGTTGGTAGAGCATGTAACTTTTGATCTTGGGGTTGTGAGTTCAAACCCCATGTTGGGCAGTAGAGCTTTGGGGTTTTTTTTTTTAATGTTTCTTTATTCTTGAGAGAGAGAGAGAGAGAGACAGAATGTGAGTGAGGGAATGGCAGAGACAGAGGGAGACACAAAATCTGAAGCAGGCTCCTGGCTCTGAGCTTTAGCACAGAGCCCGATACAGGGCTCCAACTCACGAGCTATAAGATCATGACCTGAGCTGAAGTCGGATGCTTAAATGACTGGGCCACCCAAGCACCCCTAGAGCTTATTGTTTTAAAAGGGGGGAAAAATCCTATAGGTTCCAAGAGTTTAGGTAAACTTATGTGATATATCCAAAACAAAAGGAAATTACCTTTTTAATTCAAATTATTTATTACCAACTTAATCCAAATTAAATATTTAATCCAAAATTAAAAGGAAACTGGCAGCATGAAAATACACTATTATATGACATAAGGTAAAAAACCTAATTCTATATATTTTTTAAAAAAGCAAATCTCAAAACTAAAAATGCTATCACCTTGCAGAAAAAAAACAGCTGAGTATTTGAAGAGAAAATTCACAAAATACTCAACAACCATAAAAATCAATATCACAATAATTTTTAAGTACATTAAAATAAGATACTATGTGTTGACTATCACTAAGGATACTATGTGTTGACTATCACTTGTTGATAAGAATTGAGTGGAAGTATATTCTCCTATAGTGCAAGTAGGATTGAAAAGTCATATAACCTCTGAGGAAAAAGTCTGGCACTATGTACTAAATAACCTTTGTCTCTGTAAGTTTAAAAAGCTATATTAATAAATAAGCTGTGGTGTTTCTGGGTGGTTCGGTCGTTGAGCATCTGACTCTTGATTTCAGCTCAAGTCATGATTCCTGGGGTCACAGGATTAAGCCCTGCTTCAGGTTCTGTGCTGAGCATGGAGCCTGCTTAGGATTCTCTCTCTCTCTCTCTCTCTCTCTCTCTCTCTCTCCCTCTCCTCCTCGTGCACTCTCTATAAAATAAAAAATAAATAGGGGCCCCTGGGTGGCTCAGTTGGTTAAGCATCCAACTCTTGATTTTGGCTCAGGTCATGATCTCATGGGTAATGAGTTCGAGCCCCACATCAGGCTCTGCACTGACTTCACAGAGCATGCTTGGGATTCTCTCTCTCCCTGTCAATCTCTGCCCCTTCCCCACACTCTAAATTAATTAATTAATTAATTAATTAATTAATTAAATAAAACAGGAGCGACTGGGTGACTCAGTTAGTTGGACATCCAACTCTTGGTTTCGGCTCAGGTCATGACCTCACAGTATGTGGGATCAAGCCTTGTACTGGGCTCTGTGCTAGCAGTGTGGATCTGCTTGGGATTCTCTCTCTCCCTCTGTCTTTGCTACCCGACCCCCCCCCCCACCAGCTTGCACTCTCTATCTCTCAATATAAATAAATAAAAATAAAATAATAAATAAATAACTTATCTTAAAAGATAAAAAATAAATAAATAGGCTGCAATACTAGCAAAAACTTATTAATTACTTGGGGTAGATGTTTCTATTTATAGTAGCATTGTTATTTTAAATGCATTCTTATATATAATATCATTATATTTATAAAAGCAGAAAACTAGGAATTTAAATTCCCAAAGTGAGACTAATTTAAGTCTCACTTATAATGTAAATTATGATACAAATTATGATACAATGAGATTTTATGGAACTGTTTAAAATGTGAACATTTTGACAATGAGAAATATTTGTGTTAGAAGGTTAAACAAAAAAATTTTAAAAAGAATACATAGGTATAGATATAATGCTCCCAGCCATGTTAAAATAATAAGCACATAAAGAGACCAAATCTGACTTCAAAATTTTCAGTGATTGCTTCTGTACATAGGATTATGGATGACTTTTTTCTTCTTTATATTTTTTGTACCATGTATTATCTTTGAAATGGCTATGAATTATTGTTTTATAATCAAGGAAAAAGGAGCTAAAGAAAAAGGACCAGAGATACAGGAAGTTGTGGTTATTTCAAGGCAGCTCCTAAAAGTTGATAATAGCCTGATGACTCCACGAGGAGCCAGACTGTTGAGATGATTCAATCATTGTCTTTGTTCTTAGGATTTTATAAGGGAGGCTCACAAATACCAAAGCTTCCAAGTAAGAGATACCTGCAGAAAATGGAATGAAAGAGCATGAGAAGGATTGATGGGCCAAGTCAGGATATAGACAAGTGGACTCACAAAGTATGTAGCCTGAAACACCTGCTCCACCTTCAGAATAAAATAACCAGAAGGGAAAATGAAGCACCTGGAACCAACTGGAAAGGCCTGTTTACCTGCACAGGTGTCATGCTATTTATAATAGTATTTGTGGTCCTTTTCCAACACCCTTTGCTGGCCTCAGCTCATCAGATCAGATGCTATTAAGATTATAACCATAAATTTTTATAGACTGAAACCCTATAATTAGGAGAAGAAAATCTACAAGTGGTAATAAATAAAATTAATGGGATTTGTCAGCCATTACCACAAATTACTGATACTGATTTTCTATAATAATAACAGTAAAAACAACTACCATTTATTGAGTCTTCCCTAGTACCAGGTCCTGTGATAGATCCCTTACATATGAAGGGTGGTTAAATGTGCCACCCCAAAATATGCCACTTTGACATAAGGATTATTTTCAGCAGAAGGCAATTGAGAAGAAGCAGATACCAGAACAGCTCCCTGCCATCCCTCTATATGCCTAAAAACGGGACAGAAATTTATAGAGGTATCTCCCTTGCCCTCTCTACCAGGAAGGACAGAAGTCAACCACCAGAGACAACTCTAAACCCTTATCAGTCCAGAGAAATCTGCACCAGAATAACAACAAAGCTTGCTAGAACTGGCTAGCCCCTGTCTACCATTAATTCCCCAGTGTATTTGTCTTCCCACAATTTGCCCTCCCCACAGGCTCAAAGTCCTTTTTCCTTGTCTTAACATTTCTTTACTATTATTTTAAGATGCTATAAAAGCCCAAATTCTAATACCTCTTTGAGTTACTCATTTCTGAGAGTTCCCATGTGTATTTGCAATGCACATGTTGATAAACTTGTTTGTCTCTTGTTAATGTCTTTTTCAGTCTGATTTACAGGGTCCCAGCTGGAGAGTCCAAGATGAGGAGAAGAAAAAAAAAATCTCTCCTCCCCTACACATATCTCATTTAATCCTCCCAACAACACTGTCATTCAGGTACTATTATTACCCTCATTTACCCATGAGTGAAGAGAAATGTACAGAGGTTAAACAACCTGCACGGGCTAAGCTA